TTTTTTGAGATGGAGCCTTGCTCTGTAGCCCAGGCTAGAGTGCAGTGGCACAATCTCGGCTCCACCTCCTGGGTTCAAGCAATTCTCTGCCTCAGCCTCCTGAGTAACTGGCATTACAGGCATGCGGCACCAAGTCTGGCTAACTTTTGTAGTTTTGGTAGAGACAGGGTTTCACCATCTTGGCCACATTGGTCTTGAACTCGCAACCTTGTGATCCACCTGCCTTGGCCTACCAAAGTGCTGGGATTACAGGCGCGAGCCATTGTGCCCGGCTGGTCTCTGATACTTCTAAGCTATGAAGCATTAGGTAAATTTCTGGCTATCTCTGACCCCCATCTATGAAAGACTCGTAGGGTGGTTGAAATTGCACCACATGTACAATATCTGACCCAATGTAGGAAATGTGTAAATGTTAGCTTCATCCCCCAGGGAAGCCCACTGAGATCCATATGAGTCCTTTGTCTGTGTCTCCCCATAATGTGACCTTTAGAAGTTGCCAATGGCCCACCCAATACCCAACCGTGATTTTTCTGAGATAATCTGCCCTAGGTGTGTGAGAGGAAAGGCGAAGAAGGCAGTCAGGAGGATTCACTCGCGGGGGAGCTGGGTAGGATCCTATCTCCTCCTACATCCAGAGCATGCAGGCTCCATTTAGATACAAAGGGGTCAGATTGGGTTACTGGGGAGAAATTGAGCCCCTTTGATTCTGCGGTTCTGTGGGTCTAAATCTGGCAGCTCCTTGGCTATCCACCCCCAGGCTTTGTGATTGGTTGGCTGTGGTTGGTGGGGGGGCAGGAAGCTGCTGGTGGAGCTGCAGCATCCTTCAGTCTCAGGCCCCCAGGAGGGGGAGGGGAAAGAACAAGGGCTGAGCCGTGGAGGGAAGAGGAGCCATTTCTCTCCACCGATTGCAACCTCCGTGCTCACAGCTCACGTTTCACCAGAATCCAGGGGCCTGGTCGGCCTAGGAATCCACAATGCTGGATATTTTCATCCTGATGTTCTTTGCTATCATAGGCCTGGTCATTCTGTCCTACATTATCTATCTGCTCTAGTGGCCTGGAGCTGCGGCTGGAGCCTGCTGGAGAACAGCTCAGAGGGAAGGATGGAGCTGAATGGCCGAGTGCCCTGCTTGCTGACGCACCGGTGGATTTTTGCTTCTGGCTGTTATCTCGGGTATTGATTTAAAAAAAAAAAAAAAAAAAAGAAAGAGTTCGCTTTCCTATTTTTTTTCTCAGACCACTCTGAAAAGAATAAGAAATGCCAGCTTCTTTCTTTGGGACCTAATTTAAAATAAGAGTTTAAAAATTACAAATAAAATCTACAATGCAAAGGAGTTTTAGGCAGAATGGGTTGGGAGTGATGGGTGTGGTGGGGAGGGACTATTATTTCCTAATTTCTTCTTCAAGTTAGGTGCGCAAACTCAAGTTGTCTATTTTCTTCCGGTAATTAAAGATAAAACACATCTTTGCATGTCAGCATACTTGCAACATAGTTGTTTACGACTATGCTTGTATAATTGCATTACTTAATTATTGACTCATTCTTATTTGAGGGTGAGACAGCAAATAATTTTACTTGGGGTGGGGCTTTCGGGGAGATGTCCCAACTGTGGGATTTGGTGGAGAGGAGGGAGGAGCTCCTGGTACTTGGGAGCTGATACCTTTGCAGCTGTCCCCATCTAAGCCTTTTTATTTCTGGGTTTCTTACAGCTCCTGGTCTCTCCAGTCCAACAAGAGGTCTCTCATCCACAGCAGCAGTCCCGCTGCCCAGCAGACCTCTTTCAGAGCCTTCCAGACATGGCTGACC